GACTTCTCTCCGCAGTGAGGGTTATCGATCTATGGAGGAGCTCTATCGGTCATTGTATGGACAGGAACTCCCCCCGACCTTTGGGGATGCGACCAGAAACGATGTTTGTCTCATACACCCCATATTAGCTGTTATGGTACATGATATCTGGATCGACCAACAACACCTTGTCACTGGTCACAACCCATTGTGCTTTAGATTGAGGGTGCCTACCCGAGAAATTACCAGACAATCATGGAATCTTCCCACACCGTGGGTTCATCTCCAGCCCAAAACAGCTTTGATTGGGGAGTGCTATGCCTCAGTTTTTGATCCCACTGGAGCCACTCTTCTTGGAGATACCCGAGCAGATGACAACGCTGTCGAAAATGCAGTCCATGAGGCGCTCCGAAAGGAACATCAAGCTGACCCTCTGACCCAACCGTGGTCAAGTCTTCCGAGAAGGCATAGAGGTCGTTGTAAACCCAGGTCTTTAGTTCGCACCCCACTCCCAAGGTCCATAAAGACTGCCTGTGATGGCCAATATACTCCAGATGTTGACCAGCCCACCATGCATTTGCGACAAATCACTAGACAAATGAGACGCATTCAATCGCTGAAACAGCGCATCCGAAAAATTGAAATTGTACCGCCTAGCTCAACCACTATTGAGCAGCTTCACCAGGAATGGACATGCATCCTCCAATCTACAGGATACCACCATGGGTTTTGCCACTGGATGCGACAATTCCCAGAGCTACTCCCCATACCTTATTCCGTGCCATCGTTTGAGTTCCTTTATTTGCTTGAACAGCTCCATCGATTCCATCTTGATCAGGTCGCCTATGACCATAAGGTGCGACTTCAAAAGCTTCAACAGTACCAGCAAGATTTAGATAGCAAAAGATTCGGGCGATCAGATGCTTTCAGAAGAATCAGAGAGTCCTCACCAGGTTTGGTGGGTGTCCTGTCCAAAGAACATAGAGTTCCTGCCACCATGGTGTCACCACCAACATATGGGTTAGCCACGTTCTCATTAGGCCATCACATGGAGTTTGACTTCACCCAGCCAGTTTTTATTAATCAGCATGCATGCACAATAGTCCAGACTGATGGTTTTCAACTGGAAGTCATGATTCATGATGAGGTTGGCACCTTTCCAGATACTGTGGAAGTGATGCAGCCACGAGACACTGCTGAACCCAAAGAAGTGGCGGACCAACTTTCCATTTACTGGCGACAGTTTTGGAATCGAGACAGTTCTGGATCCCAGCATAATCTTGATCATTGGGAAGCCTTTGAAGCTCTTCGCCGTCAGATTCCCCCCAAACAGATTCTGACAGTTGATGTCACTAGTGTAGAGTTGCTTCAGACAGCCATTGCACAGATGTCATCCACCACCTCTAGAGGTTGTTGTGGTTGGTCTTCAGATGAACTCAAAGATTTGCCTGTCAATTGTGTGCGTGACCTTTTGCATCTATTCAACCTCATTCAAGAGGAGGGATTTCCTGACTGGATGATGCAAGCTCGAGTTCTGCCTGTCGCTAAGCACCACAAAGCTAACATGGCAAAGGCCACCCGGCCTATCACAGTACTTTCCTTACTGTACCGGTTGTACAGTAAATGGACCTCTAGACAAATTTTGCAAGCATGGACCCGCACACTCCCTGAATCAATTACTGGATTTCTGCCGGGACGAAGCTCCCACAAGCTGATATATGAGATGCAGCTTGCACTTGAAGCGACCAACCATGGACATTCTCACCTGCATTGGGGGGGTTTAACACTTGATATCATAAAAGCCTTTAACACCTTGCCACATTTACCACTTTGCCAACTACTCATCCATTTTGGAGTTCCACCTGCCCTGGTAAGAGCATGGATCTCATCCATTCAAAAAATGATCCGATACTGGCAGATTGACTCCCAGCTGTTTGTAGTGCCAGCTGCCACCACAGGAGTGCCCGAAGGTGATGCTTGGAGTGTTGTAGCCATGTTGGCTGTAAATATCTTCATGGTAACCTTAATGGCCCCACATGCTCAACGTTTGAATGCATTTGCAGATAATTGGAGTTACTCTACCACTGATCCAACGCAACATCTACCCGCCATGGCCACCCTCACGCAGATTGCTGAAGCATTGTCCATTGGAATTGATTGGGGGAAAACTTGGGCTTGGGGCACCTCTCAGCCGCATCAAGAGGCTTTGCAGGCTGCTAAGGACTCTGTTTTAGCTCCAGAAGTACAATTGCAGTTGGTCACACATGCCAGGGACTTGGGCTACATAATGCATTATCGTCTCGCGCCCTTTCGAGGCACACAGAAGGAAAGACATAAGCAGGCCTTGGCCAGACTGCACAGATTGCGTAAGGCTGATATTTCTGTTCAAGATAAAGCATATGTAGCGATGGCATCTGCCGTGACTAAGGCCCTGTATGGGACCCACATGTATCTGGTTGGCGAGGAGTATTTCTCCCAGCTTAGATCCAAAATTGCCACGGCCATGCTGGGCTCTCACCATAATATCCAAAGCCATATAGCATGCAGCTGCCTTTCCCCAACCTTGGTAGATCCTGAGCTTTGGGTTATCCAGAATGCCATTAAAGAAGCCAGACTCTTCCTGCTACAAGCTGACCCTGCCTTGGTAAGCCTTTTTCTCCGCATGGCAGCCCACCATCAAGTTAGGTATAATTTGATAGTAGGACCTGCAATGGCGCTGAGCGCCTACTTGGCTAAACTTGGCTGGACCATTGACCAGCAGGGATGTATCCATTGCCCTAATTTCAACCACCTTCATTTGATCCACTGCAACCAAGAAGAGTTGATGCTGGCCACTGAACGTGCGTGGATGGAACATGTTTCCCTTTGTGTTAGCAATCGCCATCACCTCCGTAACTTGCCACGTATTGACAATCGTGCAACCGTAAAAATTTTCCAAGCTGTCCCACCGGAAAAGCAGAGAAGCGTAGGTCTTGACCTTTGTATGGGATACATGGTGAATGAACAAAAAGCACATTTTGATGAATTTCAGGACACTCACTGCCAATTCTGTGACCAAGCGGATACGGTGATGCATAGGGTTTTGCACTGCCAAGCCACGCAAGTGGTAAGAGCGAAATATCCTGCAGTGTGTGATTTCTTGCAAGACCATGACATGATTCATACGTTACTCCCGGCAGCTTATGCAGATCCAGAGGTGGACTTTCACTCTTTTGTTTTTGAAAAGTATCCTGAACCTCTATGCCAGCCATTGCCATATACCCCCAGGTTTCTTTTTACAGATGGATCCTGTAAGATGCCAGCCAGCCCAAACCATAGATGGGCGTCCTACGCAGTAGTTGCTACTCCATATGACCTCTCGCAAGTGCCTTGTGAACGATTAAATGATGCTTCATGGTTGCTGCAGAACACTTTCGACACAGTCGCAGTGTCACATGTTACTGGCCTCCAAACAATTCCTCGTGCAGAGCTTATGGCTGCAACTCTTGCTCAGGAAATGCAGTTGCAGGTGCCTGTAGTAACAGACTCACAATACGTCATGTACGTGCATCATTTGATTGAACAGACTCCATACGTTTGGAAATTAGCCAAGAAAAAGAATTTTGACCTTCTGCGCAGATTGCATGCTCTGCATTGGGATCAACGTATGGATATTCCAATTCTCAAGGTGAAAGCTCACCAAAAAATTAGTCGAGAAGACCCAAATGCTTTCATGAAGCTTGGTAACATGGTTGCTGATTGTGCTGCTACGCAGACCCAGGAACATTTGGCACGCCATTTTACGACCAATCTAGCCCGGCTTGCCCACGAAAGTAAGCAGATGAAAGATATGCTTTGCCAACATCTGACCATGCGAGCAGAATTGGCAGAGTTACGCAAACGTTTGGAAACAGAAACCGTCCAGACAGAGACAGTTGAGCCTAAGGCGAACTTCTTTAAGCAATATGTTGTGAATAACCCAGTTAAGTACACTTTTACACTTGACCAGTTTGAACATGTCCATGCTTCTCGGTTTGGCTCTCGCTACAGTGCACTGGTACTGGAATGGCTGCAGACCTTGGAATGGCCAACTCATCCTGACCGACAAAAGCCTCCGGTGGGGGTGACGTGGCTGGAACTAGCATGTAACTTCATGATCACGACACAGCATAGCTTGAAGATAAATGTTTCTCCTCATGGACAGCCTACGAAATACTCATGCATGGAAGAGGACATTACATTGGACCATACTGTACATTGTTTTTCCTTGGCGACGAACGCACTACGAGATTGTATAGCTCATCTGGGCTTTCTTTTGCAGACAGACCTTCTTCCAACTCTGAAGCCGCAGAAAGTCACCTCACTTAGGAAAATGGGTGGCAACGCCACCAAGCAGGGCATTGCTTTCAGACCGGTAATGAAACGTCAAAGTGAGACAGTTGATTTACTTGTGGCGTATTTTGAACAGCAACAGGGTAGCCGAAATTTCACCAAGTGGCCGAATATCCCGTACAGTGAACCGTGTGTTCAGACAACCGTACAGGGTCCAAATGAGGATAATCAGGAGGACCGGAACCGCCGGTATAATGCCAGGCGAAGAGACATACGCCTGTCCAGACAAGCAACGTGAACTTGATTGTGTTATCACCCATTTGTGTTGTGAGACTCCGAGGTTCTTATTTGGATTTTGATTACCTCTGTTGCTGATCTTGTTGTGATGCTTGTCTTCTCAGGACTAGACTTCAGTTTCTAAGGACATGGACAGGTTCGTCCTTGCACATGCGGGGGACGGGCCGCGGAGCGCAAGTGGGTGGCCTTAATTCAGGTTAGTGAAATATTATAATTTACCCAGATGAATGGATATGAATGGGGAGGATGAAATGGATCATTACACCAATTTCAACGTGTTTTTGGTGGCCACACAATGCTTACTTTGGTATAGCCGTATAGCATGTATAGCTCAATAAAAGAGACATGTAGATATCTCGCTACATCTGGGTGTTGGTTCGATCCAAGCAGATCCCATCTGGGTACACTTCGAGGCGATGAAAAACAACGTTTTCGCCTGCATCTTAGCTGCGGCCCACTTCGATTCTCAAGATGTGCAGTGTCTGGGCGAGTTGCAGCAGGTTACGTCGGTTACGGTTTTTTACGGCACCATGGTGAAGTAATCCCCATGTTGGGAGATGGGGTGCCTATAACTATGGCCAAATAAATCCAAATAATATATATGTACTATAATATGGGTTAATTTAATATTATATGTACAATTAATATCATATGATGTGATGTGATGTGATGTGATATGACATAATATTTTATAGTATAGTACATATGCATATTCCACTTAGAACTGGAAATGTTCTTCCGAGAATGCAAGCAATCTATCATTTGGGGATGATGTCTACTATGTTTATCATTTGTTTATATTAATTTATAGTAGTAGTAGTGAGGATGGTTTTTGGTTTAGTGTTTACCATGAGGCTTTGAATCCTCCACAAATTGGATTTGGCGATAGTTTTTTTGAACGTCCAAATTCTTCCTTCAGACTGTATTTTTTCGAAGTGCTACTTGACATTCAAAGTCACGAGCTCAAGGGCTCAAAGCCTTTGTGACGCGTTTGAACTCAACTAACTAACACAGGTAGAAACAAAATAGAAACAAAAGACGGTTGGTTGCATGAAACTCATTGTATTGTATTCCATCTTGCGTATGGACATGGGAATAGGCACGTTTGAGAGGTCGTGAGTCCATTGTCAGGGTTAGGTGCCGGAACAGCATCCGCATCCAGTTTCCGGGAAGTCCATCACCAAATCTCCAGTTTCCGGATAGCTCATCATAGCTCATCATGAAGCACTGCCTGAGAATTTCAAAGATGTTCAAATGTTTTAAATGTCTAGATGTCCATTCTCTACCCAAGACCAAGATGATGATCCTGACGACTCATGTAATCCTTTTCGGGATTGAAACCAGCCACCGGCCTGGGAGTGTAAGGATTCCAGCTGCTACGGCATGCATTTGGTGTCCGATCATTGCAGCTGCCATGGCAGCCTACTGGAAACTCTCCCCGCCATGTCCCTCAGCTGCAGCATGTCATGGTTTGCTGGAGTTCAATATGATTTGCTACTGGATGTTGTGAATAGTAAACAGCAATGATTGGGGTGAGTCATGGTGAGTCGCCACTTTATGGTCTATTTTTGGTAGGCATCCCATGACACCTGGAACATCCTGGAACCATGATCCCAAAGTCTCGAACAACTAATACTATGTGGATTATGTGGTAAAGAAATTACTATAACTATAACCCATCCCCAATATTACCATGTCTAGTTCTTTCCAAACTATCCCTGTGTAGTTGTTGACACCTTTCATTCTAGTCTTTCCATAATCCAACTACAGTAATGACATCTAATGACTATATGAATCATGTCCATTCATTTCCCCATATTAGTCATCCTTATCCCCTCATATAAATGGACGTTTTCACCACTGACCACGGGGCTTTGCCGCCCCTCATCCCAGCCACAGGCGTCCCGACTCCGAAGCTCCCTCCCGCTCCAAACGACCAACGCCGAGCGCCATACCGTCTGGTCTCGCCATAGGAATGGCCATTTTCGCCTAATTCAGCTTGACCTAAGTAGCTATGGAAACTATTGAAAAATGGATAAATATGGCTTGGTGATGGCCGTTAAGTCAGCTTGAATGTCATGAAATTGGCAATGTTACCACGTACCACCTAGGTTTTTGTTTGGCTAAAGTTCAGTCAGATACCAGAATTTTCCAGTGCGAAATGCTCATTTTCATAGCTTCTTGGAGAGTTAAGATGTATCAAAATTCCTTTTAAGCTCAGTTGACCGGGCACCGGCAGGCTGAGTCCACTGGCGAGAATTTTCAGCTTGGGCCCAGAAACTTTGAACCATAGCTGAGTCTTGCTTAGGTCACAAGAATACTACTATATAATGAATAAGTATATAGATATGAATATAAATGACTATCTAAAATCTAAAATAGTGTGACTTCTGAATCATCATACGATATCAATCTTGTGCCAATCCCACATGATTTCGGGCCTTTGAGCAATGCCTCGCCGTGTTCTCGCTGGGAGCCTGGTGAGATATCAGGGATCCGATGCCAAAACCACGATGCCTGCGGAAAAAGCCAGCACCAGCGCACGGTAAACCTTGGGACACATCAAAAAGATACCCCTTTTTAGAAGTTTAACATGGTTTAACCCATAAAAGATAGAATAGTGCTTTACCACTCTTGTAGGAATTGACTTTCTTGCATCTTTTTGGCGGTTTGTTATAGTATATGTTGATACTTCATTCTTGTGCTATAAGTGGGGATATGTACTAACCAACTGTTTTTCTTTGTAGGGTATCTATGCTTACCCATGGCAATTGGATCTGTGGTACATATATATCCATTGTAACGTATATATATATATATTATATATATCCAATAGATTGTATACTATGAGCTACAGCCAAAATTTAGGTTAATGGAGAGTAGTATTCAAGCGGTCTCTATTTTTTGGAAATTGAGCTGGGGCTTGGAAAACGAAAAATACACTCTTCAAAAACGATAACATTTACTTATATACCAAAACCTAAAAAACGATAATACACTCTTCAAAAAGTGATGACTTGGAGCTATATACCAAATATTGACGGTGGCCCGTATATATATATATATATGTAATTATATATAGATATATATTTATGGAAAAAGCATACATATATATATATATATATTGTAAATATATATATATATATATCCATAAAAATCACATGGAAATGATTCATGGCTCCCTAACGGGTCAAGTCATTGGGTTCCCTTGTCAGAATGAATGGCGACCAAGTCATCGACCAAGATCTGTAGTCACTGTAGTCTCCCAGTTTGCTGGAGGGTATATCTATGGTTCATCCCATTATTCACTTATAAAAAACTATATATATATATATTAATAGTGGTCACTTAGACTATTAATAGATCATTCACTTATTCTACATGAAATTCAGAGTAATCCATGCATGATCCACATGCAGGAGATCCACATCCAACCATCACGGTAAAAAGACCAAAAATAGGGTGTCAAGTATATCATTAATACAATCATATACTGATTGGTGGTGACTGGAACATGACTGGATTATGATTTTCCCATCATCTTGGGAATGGAATAATCATCCCAACTGACGAAGTCATATATTTTTCAGAGGGGTGGGTATACCACCAACTAGTATACATATATGTATAGTATACATAAACTTATAATATATACTATGTATCACATTCTGTGTATATATAATATATATCTCTCTCTCGCGCCATGTTACATGGATGTCGTTTGAATCCTCCTATGTTTCTAGGTGCCAAGTGGCCTCGCTTGCTGGATGCGGCCGAGACGGCGAAGCTTTTTGGCCTCGTGCCGCAGGGTGAGTTGGACAAGGCCGACGTTTTTGCCGTGCGCGCACAATGGGCACAGCACTGGTGGTGTTTCTATGGAAAATCCATGGAAATCGCTGGTGATTCAGTGATCGGCCTGATGATTTTTGGGAAAAATATGAAGAAATTGAGTTCTGTTCTGATTCCATTTATTGATGATGACCTATTGTATGACCTATTGTAGGTGAATGAATTGAGTTCTGTTCTGATTTGGTGATCGAAGAGTTTTGGAGACGTCCATGGTGAGTGTTTATTCGCTGGCTGGAGCAGATGGTGAGCAGACCCCGCAAGCATGGGGATATATGGGGATACCATATTGCGGCCGTTCTAGCCATCAGATTTACATAGAAAAAAACCGGGAATCCTGACCAGCCGGAGAGGTTTTGGAAGATCGGCATGTTGATTTCCCCCATCCACGGATATAGCCTAGACAACTTTAGAGAGCTTTAACTATAACCAACATATCACCAAATAGATAAACATATATCATCATATATCTATATTTATAGCAATTAAATGCAATTTTATTGATATAGTATTTTATATTTTTTTTGTCTATGCCAGTCAGATCAACAAACCTTTGGAAGTGATCGCTTCGCACTGAGGCCTGGAAAGCGTGCTTGGCCAGCGCCTACCGCACTGCCCAAGTCGTCGGCAAGCGCTCACGGCCGCTGTGTGGAACCTGGCCGACGGTGAACCGACGAGTCGGCCTGGATGGTTCGATTGCGGTGTTTTGTATCGCTAGATAAAACACCGAACTCTTAATTATGATGGTTTTGTGAAAATCTTAAATGATTTAAAATATTATAAAGGTTTAATATAAATAATACTGTAAATGTGTTAGTAATTATTTAAGGTATAATCGAATGGGTCAGTGAATTATGATGACTTACCCAGATGATTATATATGCCTTATGGATCCAAGGGCCTTCTTAGGAAGTGTTTTGGACATGATATAGGATTTTCAGTCAGTACCTTATATATATATATAGACAGGTATTATATATATATATATATTGTATATATATATATATATATATTATATATACATATGTATTATATATATGTATGTATTATATATATATACATATTGTTTATTGAGCAGAAGATCTATCAGCACTACCGAAACTTCTATAGATTTCAAATTTAAATGGGGACTTCTTAGCGGTTTTTTTTCTGATGCCGAGGCTCAGACTGACTCTGGAACCCCCGTTGTACATCTGGCGTGCTTCCAGGGTTCGTGGTGACAGTCGTTAGACGACCATCCCAGGGACCGTGGCTCTGGTTGGTCGCCAGGCTCAGAAAACGAGGAGCAGAGGTCAGTCATCGACTTAGATGACTTTGAAATTTTATTATTGGTCAATCTAAGTTTAATCTATATAGATTATAAGTCCAAAATTGGTGTGAACTGCTGTTTAAGTATGTTTAACTTGACCAAATTCCGATGTGCATTGGAAGCATTCTGAAAAATCCTGAAATCATCTGCAAGATCTGCAAGCTGCAGCAGTTTTGTCAGGTGAGAAGCTGCGGCTAGTGGTTCTGCCTGGTTTCTCCCTCCTCTGTTGGGCTAACGCGCCTGAGACCCGGCTCTGACGTCTGCTCCAGTGATAATGGAGATGTTCCAGTCATGGCCAGCACCAGGCTGCGCTTACCTCGTTTCGCACAGCTGTGGCCAGCACCAAGTGGCTGCTTTCTGGTCGAGACCCTGGATGATGAGGACATCCTGGTTGTTTCCCCATGGTTTTCGAATGTTCCCAAGATTTTGTCGCTAAAATCGCCATGTCACCTCAGTCACATCTTTCACATCTTATCTTTGAACTTTGATTTCTAAATCCTATAATTTTTGCTTGGTGAAGTCCCTACTCACAGGACGGAGGCGTCTTCCTGCGCATTTGGAACCCACGAAATCATTTGGAACTGCGACCGACCTGGCACAAGGCGGATATGGGTTATGGTGGGTTAATGATTGGTTACCCTCTGGTAATTTAACATAACTATGGAAAATCACAATTTTTAATGGGAAAATTCACTATAAATGGTGATTTTCAATAGCTATGTTAAATTACCAGAGGGTAATGTTAGTGAAACGCTAGGGAAAGGGTCTGAAAAGTTAGGTTGGGATAAGTTAGCCTAATTCGTTGGGTGTCTGAAATTAGGGGAATGATCATAATTGAAGCAATTAGGATCCATCATCCCTAATTTTACCGCAAAGCGGTTTAGTATTTTGTTACTAACATTGTCCTCAAATCCAGTGGTGAATTATTATTTTTCCAACGATAATGGTTCTTTTGGGTGGATATCCCATTGTTAGACACATCACATCCATTAGATAGCATGGTTGAAGCATCAAACATGAGAGTTTAAGCACTTTGTTTGAGGAAAGTATCAAAGATGGGACGGAACTTTGTTCAAGAAATAGGAAGTTCAGCATGGAAAATGGAGCGCGGTGAATCTTTAACCAATTCGAAATTGAGTTGAACAATCGAGATTGGGAGTAGGATCTCAGCTGGTTGGTGGTTTGGAACATGTTTTATTTTTCCATATATTGGGAATAATCATCCCAACTGACTCATATTTTTCAGAGGAGTTTGAAACCACCAACCAGCTAGTAATAATCCCAAAAACGGTGCTCAAATTGACAGAGATCCACCAATCACCAAGGTTTTTTGGGAAATGATTGACACGGGAAACCCTGGTCCCCGGATGATACCCTCAAATCGCTGGTTAATGGATGCTTATTCCCCCAGTCATACGGTATCATAGGTAACTTGACCCAAGCCCGTATCCCAACATATGGGGATGGTTTAAAATCTTTAAAACAATATTTTGGTGGATTACCCTCCAGTAAATTAACATAGACCCTGGTAGATAGGGCTTGGAAGATTAGTTTCCTCTAAAAAATTGTGATTTTCAGGGTCGAACTGTCAATTTACCAGATGGTAACCATGATCTTGGGATAATCCACAAACCAAATATGGCCCAAAAGTTGAAATCCTCAGCCAGGATGATGGTCCAATCCCTCTGGAGCGATTGCTGCAGGCACAGTTTGCTTCTGGGTAAACCTTGGCTGAAGAACTTAGAGAGTTGATTTTTGGCATAATGTTTGACTACATATACACATAGTGTAGTATTATGTAGTATTGTTGTATTCTTGTTACAATGTTTTGGCTTATAATTTCAAAAATGCTAATCAGCTAAAATGCAAGTTTTGCACAGTATCTAGGCGCAGGGTCTCACAACAAGTGGGTATGTCACCCATGACCAAATCAGACAATTCCTAAATTTATGGAACATAGATAAACCATGATCAGTTATGATAAATTTTAGTAATTTTACCAAGTTTTACCCAATATGTTTTTTTTCGCTATTTTGAGGAGATGGTTGGAACCCATCTCAGCCATTCTCAGGAGTTAGAGCTAAATGAACCGCTTCGCAGCAGGACGGGTGTGGAAAAAAAATCTCCCGGGACTTCGCAGCGGAAATGGAAATGGTGGAATTCCAGGGCGAAATCCGTGGGTTTTTTCCGAAAATTGATGAGAACAGGATGACTATAAACAATAAGGACACATGTTTCATAATATAAGACTAAATGACTGGAATATGACTGGATTGTTGTTTCGCTACGACTAAATGGATAAGCCATCACATTAGAAAATTCAATCATCGCAATCATTGTAATCCACTAATAATCAACCATGACGAGAACATGAATTTCGTGACTTATCATGACAGATATATTGTTTTAATCATCCCATAATAATCATATAATTGATGATGACGATCATTGATGATCATCCCGTAATACGATCGTATGATATTTGATCGTCATCCCATAATCCATGCGGGTGACCAGGGGATAACAATCAAATAATTGATTGATTGCTGTTTGCAAATGTGGTGATAGAAATTGGGGGTATGTTTGTCAATAATCATGGATATATTCATGGATAGAACTTGTGGAATATATTGGCATGTGTTCCATGGGAACATGATCACAAAATTTAAGACTGACAGATGGCATTCAATGGGAATCATGCATCGTCTCTGTGGTATCCCCATAGTAGCAGTAGAAATGGTCAATTGGAGGGAAGACCCCGGTTTGAGTGGAAGGGTTCTGCGGTCATGGAGACATGTGGCTCCAGAAAATCTCCAGCAAAGTCGTAGCTTGACTCACCACTGATCCCTCCAGAGCTGATTTAAGCCTTCTATTGATTAGAATGTTCATCAATTTTCCATCATTTTCCACGCTTGGATTAGAATTTTCCATCATTTTCCACGCTTGGATTGGAATTTTCCATCATTTTCCACGGTTCTGAAGATCCACCTGAATTTTTGAACGAAAATCGTCCCGTCATGTCCCAAGGTGGGCCCTGCCTGGAAACATGGCAGTGCCACTCCGCGAGAGCTGGATTCCTTGAGGAGATAGAGGGAATCAATGGAGGGATCTTTATGGAGTTTAAGGGATCTTTAAGGGATCTTTATAGATTTTATAGGGATGTGAGGGATTTTGGAAGGGATGTGATCATGATTTTCATGTGATTGGCCTATGGGATTGATTGAATGATTCTTATCTGGATTTAGTGAGATATTGTAGTGGGTGTGGCTGAAAATTGGGTATGCCACCCAAATAATAGCCGTTGAATAGATGAGAAAGATGATGATCATCTGTTTTCAGACAAGCCCACATGTGCCGTGGTCAATTGGAGGATGGTCATCAATCATCAATGACTGGTTGGTGGTTTGGAACATTTTATATTTTTCCATATATTGGGAATGTCATCATCCCAACTGACGAGTATATTTTTCAGAGGGGTTGGTTGAAACCGCCAACCAGATGAGGATTTTGTATCCCCATATTTGGATTCCCATGATATGGGATGACCAAGGGCCCTTGGAGCTTTTGCTCCCAGCGAAGATCGCTGAATTCGGAGAGATTGAAGGAAGTCAATGTATGTATGTTTATGTTATGTGAATTTGTTTGATCTATTTATATCTATCTTTAATATATTTGCTAAAGATTCGGCGATGCAGGGAGTCTTGAAGCAGTGCCTCCTGGTTTTGAAATCTGGTCCTGATTCAGTATGCAGGGGCAGTGGTAGTGAAAGGCCCTGTGACCTTTTTTGAACATAAGCCAAGCAAAAGGAGTAGCATTTCATTCTGAAAAGGATGCTTGGAAATCCCCGGCGTGTCTGCAATCTGACATAGCTATGGAAAATCATTATGTCTAATACGTAAATCATCCATTTTCCCAAGAGACTATGTTTCCTAGCTATATGAAATGGACGGAGGGTATAAGCAAAGTTGCAAAGTCCAGTGGATTGTTATCATGTTTCCCCAGTTTTCCAAGTGTCCTCATTATGTGATTGCGTTGGACGCAGGCCCTTGCTGGAGCGAGCGGGTCACCATGCACTTCTCGCAGCGCCAAAGTCAGCAAGATGAGATCTGAAATGTGGATCTGATCGAAACAAATATTGATATCTAAATATGTATGAATGGTGATTATGATATTGATATAGTATGATATCGTCACATATTAATAATACACATCTATAGGAATACAAAAGTATGTATATATGTTTTAATGTTGATGTTTTTTCATAATCATGGAAAACGCGTATGAAAGCCAGGCGGTAGGCTAGGCTGGAATCTCTTGTTGCAAACACTTTTCAATATCCTATCTCTGGGGTGTTGTTCAAGGGCGCGGTCTAGGCTGCTGTCAGGTGGTGGCAAGATGCTATGTAGGGTGCTGTGCAGGGTACGATGGCGAAATTTGACAAGGTGATGATTGGACTATACAAGGAATTATTATTGATGTTGTGCAAGATGTTATCCAAGAGATTGTGCAAGATATTATGGAACATGGTGCGCAAGGCGCAAGGGTTGAATATGTAACTTAGAAGATATTGGCCAATTCTGGTTCTAGGGCAATAACCAGGATAATTTGCTATGAATGATATATATATATATATTATGAGCGAGGGCTTTTATTTGGTTAAATGGTGAATTGTATTGTGGCGTACCCCGATTTGTCAAAAATATCATCATTAGATTGTAAAATGAGGTAGGAACACCCCGAGATAGAGGTAGGCATCGTAAATGAAACATTTGGCTATTAAAAACAAGTGTGATATTGGAAAAATGATGTTAGACCCCAAAAAACATAATGGAATTGGAAAATGAGACAGGAATACCCTATTTTATACAGGTCCAAGATTTTATAGCTTAAATTTGTGAATCTCATTTTATAAAAGAATTATTTTAATCATGATAGCCCATCATGAAAATCGCAGTGGAATTT